CTGCAATGTAGGAATTGTAAAACATAGACAATAAACATTGCACACAGACTCAAGAAATAATGCGGGAATTAAAAAAAAAGGCATTTAGAATCATACCTTGGATAAACGGAACAAATCGTTCAATACGTTGTAATTTTACATTGTTTTTTTAAATATGAAAGTGCTGAAGGTGTAATGTTTAATCAAAAAGCCACATCAAAGCACTCGGAACATTCATAAAACTCCTTTCCTATCTGCACCTGCAAGCGCAGAGTTCCAATTCCAGTTGTATCTTAGGCGCATCGAGCATATGGGAAGAGCATCCCATATTTTTACAGATCAATCGACACTAGGTTAGTAATGTGGTCAGCATTACGCCGGCCGTCTTTACTTCCCCATGACAGTCATGCATACCCATTTTAGGTTGGGTCGACCTGCTACGCCCCATACCATGATAACAATCCACACACCCAGCAGTGGGTTTCGATCGTGGTAAGTTGGAATTACCAGTCGGACTCGCAACGCCTAAGCCATGCACACCACAATTGTACCAATAGCAGTCTGAATGTAGAGTGTTTTAGCAAAACCACAAACAGTCGAGAATATGCTGGGGTTATTTATGCAACACATACTGAAAGATGTGTAACTATTTTTAAAATAAAAATTAAAAACATGTAAACTGGATATATCATGAACACCCACTGTTGAGGACAACATAATTACCTTGAGTATGTCACAGAGTAGTTAACTGGATTACACAGAAGCGGTTTCTGGACGTCCAAATGACAATGTGAATGTCCACATAGAGTCCTAATTTTTATACAGTTAGAGTGTGATACGTGAAATCTGATTTAGCCCAAGCTCAAGCACCTACAGGTAGATATACCCATATATTTGCATAACTTCAAATGTTGAACACAGGGATTTATTTTTTGGTGTTCGGGGACAGTGTCATTGCAAGTGTCGACTGCTCTTTTTGGGACAAAGGATCAAAACTCTAAATTCCTGTCAACGACATCTGCTGGCTCACTTTGAATGATTATTTTCAAACATTTTGTGACTCTTTACTGTTTGATTCAAGCTGTTACTACAATATTACTGCTTTTCCTCGTGACTCGCTTTTGTTTTCTACAGAATTTGGTTAGTGGTTATTAACTGCGCGAGCAGGGTTCTCAAATTGTTCTTCTTAACACATACTTGCCTTTACTTTTTATATGTGCTTGCATGAATGGGGATAAACTCATTACTACTGCGCTAGATGGACAATGTGGTCATCATCACATCTACAATCTTTATTCCTGATAAAAGTTTTGGTACCTTTTCTAATTTGGGTTGATCTTGAAGGAAGAACATTTTTTTTTTTAACTTTAAGTTGTAATCATCTGTTGCGGTTTTAAACAAAACACATGCTGTCCGACAGGCGAACGTCTTAAAAAATAGAAGTGTAATGACTAATTGTTAATTAAATTTGTGAATTTTTAGTCGACACCCGAAGAGGTGAAATAGGAAATGACTTATAATAATAATAATAATAATAATAATAATAATATAATAATAAGCAATAATAAAATACACATATACACATTGACAATACAATCCAGTGTTACATTTCCCACATTGTTTGAGACTGCGACTATGGAAAAGGTAACATTGTATGATGAATAATGTTTAATGTTTCATTACAAATCAACATTACAGTATTGACGGATTCAGATGAAAGCTATGTCCCTATCTTCAGCAGCAAGCGCAAAGTTCCAACTCTAACGGCAGCCTGAAAATATATGTCTCACCTTTCCTTGAGTGCCGATAGTCGACCAGATCCTCTAGTCACTCCTCGCAGTGCCATTCTCTTCCGCATTGTTCTCTGGCCTCAAAAGGGCCCTTACAACATGTAGCATGTCATGCATCAGTATAAAACCACGTTGTGTAGCGCCAGCTAGTAATTCTGCCTTTTCATTTGGTAGTTGAGTTGAATCAAGAACTGACATCACAGCCCTAGGGGTATTCCCATTAGAACTCCATTTCCATCTTTAGCAGCCAGTGGATAGTTAATTTCGTAGTACACCTACATATCCTGGCGAAAATACCAAACACACGCCCACTACCCGGGACTTTTAGAGCGATGCTTGCCATTCTTTACAGAGCATACTGGCATCCACATTTCTCAGCATGCTCTGTGAGTCGGTTACAATCACGACACATGTGTTTAGCTTATTCTCAAGCCAGCGAAAGTCTGCAGGGACTGCCTCCACCTCCATTTTTCCCCACTAGATGTTATGTCATATGTCCGGTTTTGTTGCTCTAAGTGGCGTCTTTCGCTTTTGCTAAGAACCCCCATGAGCTTGGTCTGCCTTCTGAACACAGAGCCATTTGTATAGAGAGAATTATCATGAATCGGTTGTCGAACTTATTTCGCAGCGACTGCTGGCCAGTCCCTGCACATACGACTCCGTGTGGTCAGATCCCTACACAAGTCTGACTTGTGTTGTGACATTCTGACCTATTCATCTCCTTGCCTAATGTTATAGAGTCTACACACATGTCTAATTATGTCTTCAGCTTGCGCAATCTAAGACCTTCCTCTTTTCAGTCTGTGACCCTAAACTCTGGCTAGCGCTTTCTGCAGGAGGTGATTCTTGTCAGCGGCTGCTCTGAGATATGGACTGGTTTGCAGAACTATAAGCACATCTGCAATAGCAAGCATATGACACACACGACTAACCACACACACACACACACACACACACACACACACAAATGAAGAGCGAAGAGCAGAGGTCGACCATAACTATGACACTCTTCTGTGGCTCCAGAGTGAAGTAAATTGTTTTGATCCATAATAACATGGCAAATAAAAAAAAAAAAAAAAAACACACACAACAATTGTTGTTACCTCTTTATTGATCAATTAATTTTACTTGTATCTAAATTTGAAAAGAAGGGTAAACCGTAACTTCTTGTTTGTTTTCTACTAATCTTCCTCCATTTACAGTACTGCGGTATTGTCTAATGGCCTGTGTGAGGAGGTTGTAGGTGGAAGGAAGAGAGGGGGTGGGGTGGTATAAGGCTCTTCTGTGCTCCCAGTCTAATATATTGTATAAGCCGATCTTAATTTCTTTAAGACATTTCCTAACGCCGTCGTTCCTTCAAAGGCGATTAATACTTGTTCTTACTGTGTGTATGTTTTCTTTGTTTAGCGTGACCGTCTTTAGCTGTTGTGTCTTACTCTCGCTGTATTAGCCAGAGTTCCGACTTAATCAAAATCGAGAGACTCCATAATTGTTCCGTTTATGTGCAATACAACTATACAACATGCCCATCACTGCCTTAAGTGAAAAATCAAACAGACAGCAGTCCTGGCAAAAATCCAAAAGCCAGCACATTCAATTCATAAGGCAGCAACCATGTGTGAAAAACACCTACAGCCTTTCATTATAAAACATAGATATTTATAGTTGACAGTTGACTGTTGAATTAGGGGTCGACATCATAGCACACAGGGCACCCCCATAACCGCTCAATCCCCATCTTCTGCAGCAAGTGACAAGTTCAAATTTTAGTGGTACCAGTAACTGTATGTTTATAGTTAGGTCTCGCCGTTTCCCCTTGAGTGTTAAGTGTTAGCCATATACCCCTGGTAACTCCCCACGGCGCTATTCTCCTCAAACCGTAATGATCCACCTGTTCCTTCGCACTGTTTACTATCTCCCAAAAGAGCATCAGCTTGTCAATAATAAATTCACCACTAACTGGTACAGAATTGACCAGTCTTTTCGCCTGCTCATTTCCCGTCACACTGACTCGATTTGGAGAACATCTCAAAAGAACGCTAACTACTGGGGATTTCAGTAGTGATGCTTACCACTCTGCACGCACCATGCCTGTCTCCACCTTTCTCAACATTCTCTGTGAGTCAGTTACAATCACGGAATGTGTCTACATCTGATTCTCAAGCCAGCGGAAAGTAGCAGTGACCGCCTCCACCACTATTCTCAAACTAGACGTTGTGATATGATATGCCAGACTTTGTTGTGCTAAGCGACGTCCATTCTCTTTTGAACCTCCTTACACTTCGTCTGCCCCTCAAGTTGTTGCCAACTACTGCTGCATTTACTTCACCACTTTGGTGTAGACAGGAGGAGGGGTGGTCTTTGAGCCTGAGGAATTAGGGCTGCATGGCTAGTGCTGTCAGGACGACTTTGCAGTTTAGGATTTTATTGTGCTCCCAGGCAGAAAAATCTTCAATCTAACAGTCTTCTGCTTGACAGCCCAGTATTCTAACCGTTCGGCCAGCCGCTTCTCACAGACGCTATACAACAAAGAAATGTATACTCGAATTTTCAGTTCTGATGGGAACATATATTTTCACACGGTTCACCAAAATCTAATTAGTATGCACAAAACACGGCTTTGTCATTTTTAATGTACCTTTAATGTGTGGTCAGAACGATCTGATTGAGAGAGGAACAGTCACGACCTCAACAACATATGTGGTAACCAGCATTGCATTGTTCAAACGTCAACTACACAATTATGTACAACACATCAAAGGGCAGCACTCCCATATCACACTTCAAGAGAAATTTCTGTTAGGATCATCAAAGTAACCAGGGAAATAAAAGGGACAAATTGTCACCTAAATAGTGACAGACACGATGATATCATATGCAACAATTACACTATAATGTAATACAATATATCTATATAGGTGTTCGCTTTACCAAACCGATCTTCTTTACGCATAACTGTTCTACGTTGACAGATTTGAAAGCTCTTGTGGTTATTCATAACACAAAAGATAATTTTTTTTAAAGCCATCACATCATAAACATCAACATCATTATCATCATCATCGGGTGTTTTTCTGAATGGCGTGGGCGATCATGCCTGTCCACAGTCTGCGATCTTGAACAGCACATAACAGTTCGAGTGCAGACATGTCAGAGGCCTCCCATGAATGTTTGGTTTGTTTCTTAATTTTTTTTTAGGGCTCTGGCTTTATATAGCATTTGGGAGTCCTT